AAAGCAGTCAACTCCAAAAGCTTGCCATGATTCCCTGCTGCAGGATAGATCCTCCAAAGTCTCAAAGCCTTTGGGTTATCTGTGCAACTTTCTAGGGATGACACCATGAGAACACTTTCATTGTGGATTGTATCTCAGATAAAGAGAACAGAAATTCTTACTACTTCAATGATAAGCAGTTTTATGGTACAGTGAGAAAAAATAATCATGTTATCAAAAATTTAATATTACTTTACTTTAAAATCAGTGCCTATAGAGGAAAGACAAGAAATCAAGCAATGCATTGCATTGGGCAAATATGCTACAACAGATATTTTTTAAATGTTTCGTTGTAAACGTACCACTCTGAGGACTAGCCAGCACCTAACAGAAACCATAGTATTTTCCGCCACCCTATGAACATGTGGAATCTGGAAAATAAAAAAGAATGATCAAAGCAGAATTCATGCCTTTGAATTGTAAATTGAGTGAGAAACATTAAGTATTCCATGGACTGTGAGGAGGGCAAGCAAGTAAAACCACAGTGCTTCTTGGAAGAACAGTGACAAATCTCTATCTCCCTTGCTTTGGGCCTTTTATAAAGAGGGACTAGACCTTGGTGGAGGATAGTCATGCTTTGTAAAATAGAAAGTTAGGCAAAAAAGAGGAAAACTATCAATGAGAAAGATTGACACTATGGCTGCAACAATGGGCTTAAACAAAATAATTATAAGAATGGCACTGCTCTGGGATCTGTTTCATTCTGTTATAAATAGGATTGCTATGAGTCAGAAGGGAGCTGTAGTGGCCTAATGCAAGAAGCTATGCTGCAATCCCAAAGGCACACAATTCAAATCCCACCAGCTGCCCTATGTGAAAACGATGGGAAATCTCCTGTGCTATTAACTGCCTTTGAAAACTTTCCACAGGATCAGCTATGGGCAGATTCCAACATGGTGGTACACAGCAGTAACAATAACATGAGTCGGAAGTGGTTTGACAGCATTTAACATCATTAATTACTTTTAATTTCTTTAAAGAGTTGCCCTTTCTGATCCAAACCTTTTATTCTTCCATGAAAGACCTTAAACTCTGTTCCTAGTAGATTAGTAAATTTGTCAAAATTACTGCTCAATTTTTGTTTTTCTTTCCATGCAGCGTAGAAATCAAACTGGATTCAGAATTTGCCATAGCATTGGGATATCTTGGTATCAACTGGATCTTGGTTGAAAATAGAGAATACTAGAAAGATGTTTACTTATAGTTAATTGATTATGTAAAAGTATTTGGGTAGATCATAACAAATTATGGCTAATATTGAAAAGAGTGAGAATCCTAGAATACTTAATTGTGCTCATTTAAAACCTCTACATTAACTAACAAACAGTTATCTGAACATAACAAAGAACTACTGCATGATATAAAATACGGAAGGGTGTGGATAAGCATTAAATCCTTTCTCCATATTTACTGAACCTGTATGTGAAGCAAATAATTTAAGAAGCTGGACTAAATGAAGAAAAATGTGATTTCAAAATAAAAGGAAGATTCATTAACAACCTGCATTATGGAGATGACACAAATTTGCATGTGCAAAGAAGACTCAAAATACTTACTGTGGAAGACCTGCAGCCTTCAGTAGATATTACATCTCACCATCACAAAAATGGAATTCCTCACTGCTGGACCAGTCAGCAACATCATGAGATATGGAGAAAAGATCAAAGTTGTCAATGATTTCATCTTACTTGGATTCAAAATCAACAACCATGGTAGTAACATAGTAACATTCAAGAAGTCAAAATATGTGTTGCATTGCCTGCTGTCAAAGACTTCTCCAAAGTTCTAAATAACAAGGATGTCAGTTGAAAGCCTCACGTGCACCTGATCCAAGGTTTCGTATTTTTAGTTGCTTCCTATACATCTGATAATTGGACAATAAATAAGGAAGAAAGAAATAATTGATGCCTTTGGTTTGTGGTGTTAGCAAAGAGTACTAAACATACCAAATCTGCCTTGAAAGTGTGTTCTGAGTGCTGCTCAGAGGCAAGGATGGTGACCCTTTGTCTCACGTACTCTGAATATATTTTCAGGATGAATCCGTTTTAGAAAGAGACCTCATTCTGGAAAAGATGGAGGGCCAGTGAAAAGGAAATACACCTTTTAAAAAGTGGATTGACAAAGTTACTACTGCAATACACTTGAGCATGTCAGAGATCAGGAGAGTGGTGAGGATAGGGCAGGCTGTGTATCTGTTGTTCATAGAGTCACTATGCCTTGTAGTCAGCTTGACAGCACTTACCAATAACAGCAATTGTTCGTAGTGTTTTCAGAGACTTGCTATTTCAGAAGTGGATGGCCTATTCTATTTCCTAGTCTCAAAGTTTTACTCATGGCTTCATAGACAGCAATTCCCCATTTTGCGTTTCTTCCTTGCTTTTCTTTCTTCTTCCTACTGTCCACGATAGAGAGTAGCAAGCTGGTACTGAGTGGTAGGCACAGTGGTGAAAGGTAAGTAAAAATACCAGTTTGTGAAGGGCTTGTGTAGTCAGGTAGTCACACAGAGGTATTTTCTGAGGATAATAGAAAATTATGAGAGGGTTGAGAGTCAAGGAGTGAAATAATGTAATGAAACTGTTAAATGATCTCTGAGAAAACACTGAAATGTGATTAATGATGGACTGAGGAAAATTGTCAGAGGCTGTTCCATTATCCAGGCAAGATATGCTGGTGTTTTGAACCAGGATGTTTGAACTGTAATAAGCAGTGGGGGTTATTAAAAACTGGCCTGAGGATGGTCCTGTTTTAAGTAAAAAACAGAAATGCTTTTCTAGAATGGTGAGAGATAGAGGAGTGGAGGATGCTTCCAAGGTTTACGTGTCAACAAATATCAGAGAAAAATGAAAAGAGGGTTTTGGTTTTTTCTCCGTTGTCTGAAAATGGGAGGAAAGGACAGAGTGTTAGGTGTATGATTGTTTTGTTTTTATCCATCAGCTCTACAATATCTTTCCATGGATAATGAAATTTCTTCCTGGATCTCACCAAACAGTTATTAAATACTGGGAAAAATTGAAAATGTTTGTTATTCAAGTGATTGAAAATCACAGGAGAGATTGGAATCCTGATCAACCCAGAGACTTCATTGATGCGTACCTCATGGAAATGGCAAAGGTGAGGAAATGACAGATATTTCGTATGCTTTATTAGTTTAGAGCAAATGGAAATGGATTCGTTTCCTATTATTTTCTGTAATGAATTCTCATAAGTTTGGTGCTTTAAAACAGTAAAAAGAAATTTTCTTCCAACTCTTGAGGCCATTATTCAAAAATCAGTATGGAAGCCCTGGGGAGGTTTTGTTTTCGTGACTTGTTTAAATTTTATTGTCTACCTTCACACGTTGGCCATGTTCCTTCTTCCATCCACAAAAACAGGAGTGTGGCATCACCTCCCCTCTCTGACCACAGCTTCGGTCTGTACTTTCAGATTTTCTTTGACCTTTGCCTCTTTCTTTCCTGACTTTTATGATAATATTATGATAACATCAGGCCATCTGGATAGTACACTATACTATCTCATAGCAAGATTCTGACCTAATCAATTAGCAAACCACTCTTTCTGTAAGGATATTTCTGTTAAGTCCAGCTGTAGAGACCTCGCCCTATGGAATAGAATAGAATTGATGCATGGAGATTCTAAGGCTGTAAGTCTCAGGTGGATTGTGGCTAATAGCAGAAAATAGTAAATTTGTGTTTTATTTACTATACAAAAGCATTTGTGTGAATCATAACAAACTATAGCTATTACATTAAAGTTGATGAGAATTTTAGAAAACTTAATTATGCTAATATGAAACCTATATGTAGACCAAGTAGCTGTTGTCCAGACAAAGAAAGGAAATGCTGCATGATTTGGAATCAGTAA